GGTTCAGTCACACTTTTGACTAAAAAACTCCATAATCCTTTCAGTACACCTAATTCCTATTAGCAGCAACAATAGGCCCCTGTTGGTCATATACATATAAGGGCGCAGACGACAGAAACGTCATTGCAGGTTTGTATCATGTCCATCTTCCATGCACAGAGTTCTGGTTTGAGTGTGTGATTTTGGAACAGGAGTGTGGATTCAATAGGTAGAACTTTAGAGCTCTTAGCCCTTCACCCTTCTGATTGAATATTTAGATTCAGATATTAAAAATATGCTGAAAAATTCAACACATTCTAAAAGCTCCCAGTTTGCAAAATGTGCTTCTGAATAGCTAATGTCTGAGTGCAGAATATATGCATTACAGACCCTTTTGGTATGTTGCTTGGATCTCTTCCTGTTATTCCTCAAGGACTGGAAGGAATATTCTCTAGGAGGGTGTCTGGTCCCCCTTTTATTCAAGTCTGTAATTTTGGAGAAAGAAAAAAGATCGCCAAGGGAAATCTGCACAGCTGCTGGATTTTTTTAACCTCTGCAAGTCGCAGTCAGTGTATATTTCACGCTGCTGGCGTACTCCTGTGTGCAAAAAGAAAATAGCAACCTGCAATCAGACCTTTCAAGTTCTTTTCACAAAGCTCTGTATTCAACACCCTGACAGCCGATGCAAGACTCATGCGGAGATCGCATGGAAATGCCTCTTACCTTTATGATTTTTCAATACCCCTTTTGCCTCTGAAGTTCGCTCCTCGTGCTACAAGTAGGGTGATAGTTGGAGAAAAGCTTGCATTGTTTCCCAGATGTGACGGACATGTGCCCCCACCTGCATGTTTATACAGCTCTTGGAATGATTTTGACTGTTTACCGTCTTCTACCATCTTCCAATCAAATCAAATGGCAAAGAATCTGAACCGATGGTTCTTTGTTTCAAATAGAGTATGTTGAGTCTACGCTTCGCCTTATATGCGACAAGGTTTTGAAAGACGAGCTGGGGGACGCAGATGGAAACCCCATGGAAGTGCATTTAAAAACTGAAAACAGGAGGCGCGTCTTTACGCGAAGGGTTGGGGGAGTCTGGAACGGCCTGCCCGGCCATGTCATTGACCCCAAGTCTTCCTTCGGGAAAGGCCCGGATGAGGTCCTTGGATTAATGGGACAGACTGTGTGTCAGTAGATTATTAGTAGCAGAACATGCCCAAACCCTGGTTATTGCGCACTGAAAATGTGACGCTTGCCAACCATAACCAAAACCAAGCACGTGTGACGGCTTTTGGAGTTCCCACCCTTTGCCACTCCTGCCCTGCCAGTTCATCCCTCACTGCCTGGGCGCAAACCCGGGTCTCTGGCGTCACGTGACAGCGAACTCACCGGCTGAGCTAAACGAGGCCTCCCCTAGCCCGGCGGCTGAGATCCCTGTTATACGCACATATCACATAACACAACGGAAGGAGAACACTGTGTCTCAAATAGCAGACCGTATACCTGTTGTCCCCCCAGTCAGTGGTCAGCAGTGATGGGATCACTCCTGAATGCTGCGCTACTGCACCTCACCTGCAGTCCTTTCCAATCATTTCTTACAGTGCTCTCGCCCTTTCCTCCCATCACTGCTGACCACTGACCGGGGAGAGTAACAGGTGTAGGTCTGCTATTTGAGACACAGAGTTCTCCTTCCTCCGTGATGTGCATGGTTTTAGTTATGGTCGGCATAACCTCTGGGTATGTTCTCCTGAGGCCGTTAAAGAGCTCATGACCTCTGTCAAGTTCGAGTGGTTGGTGAAGCCCGTTCATCCCACAAGAGAAAGCGCTGTTTATTAAGGGGGGAAGCGTTCGACATCGCTCAGCACGCCTCGATTTGGTTTGTTTTTTTTAAAACTTCAAGAAACGTCTAAAACTACCTGCCAGGATCTCTAACTTTATCATCCCGATGGATACACGTAATGACCGCCGTGTTTAGCTTAACTTTCGCGTTAAGACGTTTAAAGAGGGAGGCCGTGGAGAGAAGGCCTGGGCTGAGAGCTGAGAGCGGCCGACGTCTCCACACCCTGCTGCTCCCCCCTGGCACCCGAGCAAACCGAAGCCTCTGGGGGTCGTGGCAGCAAGTTTCAAAATCCAGAAATACCTCTTGGCCTGCCGAATAGTCTGTTTTTTTTTTGTTTTTTTTTTTACGCGCAGGATTACGGAAAGTAAGCAGCCCAGTAGGTAGGTACAGCTCATTTCAGTGCGAGAACTGACGCGGTCCGCTTTGGTGTCGTCGCACCTCACATCGATGGAGGCGGCCCCGTCAGCCCGTCAGCCGGGTCGTGGTGCTGTCGTTTACCGTCCTTTACTGTAAAACTGACCGTGCGTGCCGCTGAAGGGTTTGCATTGTTGATACCAACCAATTCACTACCGCTGGTATTGTTCGAGTCGTCTCATCTATCTCTGTTTTACTCCTGAGCGTACGGGCGTGCATGCACTATGATTCAGATAGTGGCCCCTTTGCGAGTTCTAAACAGCAGGCCCATATCAAGCAAGTCTCTCATCCAATGACTCCTTATCCCACGATAAATAACTAATCCATCCTCTTTTCCTGTCGGCTCATAAGTCAGCGTTTAGTTTATGACAAGCCGTATATGTCATCATTACTTCTACAGCCTCTCCGCTCCTGCGCTCGCCGGCTCCGTGTCCACGCCGGGACGGCTGGTGCAATGCTGCCCTCTTGTGGTCGTTTTCCGTGTGACAGGCTGGTGAAAACCGGTCGCCCGAAGAGGGCTCTTGCGACCACTTTGCTGGGGGTTTTTCACGTCGCAATTTCTCCAAATGCAGTGAGGAGTTCAACGGTAAAAAAAAAATAAATAGGATGTGAACATTGGTCATTAAATGGAGGTCCTGACTCTCTGTGGTCGTTTAAAATCCCAGGGCGTTTCTCGAAAAGAGTAGGGGTGTAACCCCTGCGTCCTGGCCAAATTTCCCATTGAATTTCATCAATCGTGGCCTCCTAATAATCCACCTCTATGAATTGGCTTCACCAGCGTTCTGGCGCACTATGGCTGCTGTCACATCATCCAGGTGGGGCTGCACACTGGTGGTGGTGGAGGGGAGTCCCCATTACCTGTAAAGCGCTTTGAGTGGAGTGTCCAGAAAAGCGCTATATAAGTGTAAGCAATTATTATAATAATAATAATAATTATTATTATAATTATTATTAAAACTACCCGGGAAGGTGCTTTGAACATCTTAGACCAATTTAAATACATTAATTCTCTTTATAAGACCACAGGTGTGTTGCCTTGACCTGCTGCACAGCTTTGCTGACCATGAGCGACTCTGTTTGTGGGCACTCAGTCCATTCAGAGCAGGAACCCAAGATTCAGCTGTATGTACTGGAGATACAGCATCTTCATTCAATGACTAAACACTGGAACAGGATCGAGTTCCTCCTTTCACGGGCGGGCCCTGTGGCCAGGCCTGGCTGCTGCTGTTTTCCAGACAGCTTCCGCTCAAGAAAGTCATAACAAGGAAACAAATGTCTCGACTGATGTGAGCTTGTTCCTGAGTGGGATGAAAGCTGCCCTTTGGAGCCCTGTAATTGACATTTCCTTGTTGAAGGTGGCATCAACATGCCCTCTACAGGCTCAGCAAAAATCGCGCCATCTATCAGTTAAAACAAAACGCCTGGTGTCCTCGGGGAGACTGAGCCTGCTGGCAGCTCTTTAATCAGAGACTCAAGCGCAGGACTGTGTGTGAATGTGAGATTCTCCCAAGGCTACCACTGTACAGACGCCTTTCTCTACCACAAAATGCAAAGGCCTGTGCAGGAATCTCTGGAGTAAAGTAACCATTGTGTTGTCAAGGAGGCCCATTTTAAACAGCTTTATTTCTCCAGGTTTTATATGACGTACTGTATGCATTGCAACAGCACATGTTACATGCTTCTGCATTGGCAGGAGGTGTCTCCAGTCTGTTCGTCTAGATAGAGACAGTACTTCTGAACCTTTGTGTCCCAACTCAGAATAAACAACCAGGTCAAAAAATGTTTTGGCAGCATAGGAAAACACAGAAAGTTTGCACAGTAATATTGTGGGACAGCAAACATGTGGAGTGCAGCGAATGATGTTAACGTTCATCAGCTAAGTGATATTGTGACAACCATTTTGCAATGTTGTCGCCACCAACCTACGACATTCATGCAAAATCTTAACTTGTCAGCTTGGAAGTTTGTACTAAGCTGACATTTTAATGATTTTTTGGCCATTTAACTTAAATTGCTCCCCTTGGGGATGAATAAGGTATTTTGAATTGAATTGAATTTCAGTGATGTGTATAAAAAAATTCCCCAAGAAATATCTCAAATCACACACGCACAACATCAATGCCTTACACTTCTGCAATGCAGTTACAATGTTAAGTCTGACATAAAAAACGAATCCTTGTAAAAAAGTTTGCTGTAAAGTTAACATTACTTATTTATAAAATTAGCACTGATCTCTTATCTCTACCTCTTACAGTATGTGTCATAACTAAACCACAACATTCTAGGAATTTAGGCTTGTATCCTAAGGAGTGTATTCATTTAATTTATTACCAGATTACAGTTTAGTTTTAACACCTTACAATGCAGAGCACCTTTGCCTGCAGAGTATTATTTTATTTTATTTTAAAAAGAAACGAAAAAGTACAGGTTTTCTAAATAAAATATTTCTGAATGAAAATCATTTTTTTCTGCCAGATCAGAGCCACTGAATCGCGCCCTGGTGATTTAGGAAGATAAGATAAAAAGAAGGGATGGCAGTATCCAGGCTCTGCTAATAATACAAAAAAAACAAGTTGTAGATCACCCAGATTATTTAAATCAATAGAAAGATCCGATTGTTGCAAACCATGTAATGCACTAATCAATAATTTCACAACCTATTCGAATACAGCGCATTTCTGAAGGATAAAGCACCGTGGCGTCACGTGTGCTGTGACAGAAACACTGCTACATGCATCGTGTCTCTTTAAGAAAAAAATATCTCCTGGTTTGTCTTCAAACAAGTCCGCGCCCCCTTCCTGTTTCCAGAGCTGCGGGTCGCTCTTCATCCTTTGCAGAATGAAAGTTGCGTCCGTGCTTTCTGGAAACTGTTTAAAACTCACCGCCAGGACCTAGAACCAGTCATTTTTATGAACTGCTCCACCGTCTCGGCGTAAAAGCCGCCATCGGTAAGCCAGAAGGTTCGTGTGCGAGTGTTTACCGAGCACAAGGCACGAAATGTTGATGTTAGGCCTCAGCCTTGGCGCAGTGTTTTGATTCTTGCCCGAGCTGTGAACTCAGCGCTCGAAATAAGACAATAATTTACCGGGTTGTTAGTGCTGTGGCCTGTATTTAGTTTTGCAATGTGATTCGTTTAGTTCGTTCGCCTCCTGCTACAAGTTCGTATTGTGATCGCAATAAATAGTCTCTTTACATTTGAGATGGTGCAGTGGTAGCAAGCGTCGTTTGCATGTGGAAGAGCATTTAAACCTCACAGCAATAAGCACGTCTTCACCCGGTGCAGTAGTGTGGGACAGGCTGCCCAGCCCTTGCTGATGTCCATAACCTAGCTTCTTTCAGAAAACGACAGGTTACGATCCTTTGATCGGAACAATAGTCACTACATTACACAAAGAGCTGTGGGAGAGTGGAGCAAGCCCATACTGTGGTAGCTGATACCTTTGTTTCTTTAATGAGACAGCTTTGGGTCAATTAACTACAAGCCTACCAAATTGTTTCCTCCCACTTGGAACCATTCTTGAATCGCACAAGGGGGATAAGTGCCTACATTTCTGCGTTTCCTGGGAACAACCTGAGATGGTTTCAGTCTTGCTCAGTAGCTGGACAGTTCACAGTAATCTGGCAGAGTCTCCTTACTGCAAGGCTGCCACCGCGGGGGTAAACACAGCCAGCTTGCTTTGCCCCACGTCCCCCTCTTTTTGTAAATGTCATGTCCTGAAACCGTCTGGCCAGGTTTGGGGGGTCTCAGCGGTGCAGAGAGCCTTTTACCGCGTGTCCGCTCGGTTGCTTTGTTGAGGAGCTGCCCTGGGTCGTCACCGGAGCGAGCCGTCCGCGGCCACGCGCTGAGGGGCTCCTCTCCTGTCCTTTCCAGGTTCCGGCTGAGAGGAGAAGACTGCTGCGGGCCTTTTCTGGGATGGCCGGCGGAAGGAGAGGACCGAACCGGACCTCCTACTGCCGAACCCCCTTGAACGAGCCGGGCTCCGTGGGCAATGGGAACCACTCCACCAGCTCCCCCGTCACGTCGGTCCGGTCCCGCGCCCGGTGAGTCTCGGCCGGCCCGAGCCGAGCCATCAGCTCCTCGGGGCTCTCCTGTGTCAGTTAATCGCACAGCCCTGGCTAAGATGAGCTCCTTCTGTGCACAAGGAAGGGTTATCAGCAGTGAGTTGATCCTCTGGTGAACTCATCCAGCAGCTTCAACAACGTAGCCAGGTAGTTTGTTCCAGACTCCCACTACTCTTGAAGTGAGGAACTGCCCCCTGCGCTCAGTTTTCTATCTACTTCCACATAGTTTCCCCCTGTGTACCCCTGGTTTGTGTTTCGCTGTTGATTTTAAGGAAGTCTGATGGGTTAATTTTGTGCCCTTGAGGGTTTTCAGTACTTGTGTATCAAGTCTTCTTGTAATCTTTGTCCAAGACTGAAAAGATTCTGTTCTTTCAGTCTGTCAGTGTAGGACATTCCCTGCAGCCCAGGAGTGAACCATGTGGCTCTTCTCTGGACTGATTCAGGAGCAGCTGTATCTTTCCTGTAACCTGGTGACCAATACATAGTAGAATACACAGTATTGAATACGTAGTATTCTAAGTGAGGCCTTGCTAGTGTGCCATGCAATTTTTACATAACATTGCTTGATGTGTTTTAAGCCATGTTTGTCCAGTAGCCAGTTCAGGATTAAGGGCAGAGAGGCAGCACAGCTCTCTCACGTGTAAATATGCCCCAGCTACCCTGCACCTTCTTTTCCCCTTCCCCTCCTCATCTTCACACCTGCAGCTGCCTCCCTGGTTCATTCCTCCCTGGAGAGGCAGGCCAAGGCTGTCGTTTTCTTAGCCAGGCAAATTCACACCAAACACCGAACTACTTATTTTCATCCGCTTGTTTAGTTATAATTAGAATTTGAACACACACCCCATTTTAGCGTTGGTGACATTTTAGGCATATCAACATATGTCAGATGTTTGAACTCTTATTGATCCTGGTTCTGTGTTCTATATAATATCGGTCTTGATTCTGTGACCCCATTCATTTCGCTGCCTTCAAGGGCCCTGTCACGCATGGCCCATAAGACCGCAATATGGAGAGTAAGAGCATGACCCCACGGGGGACAGGCACGTGCTCAACCAGCATGCTGTGCGCGTGACGCTAACGGCGCCTGTGTGTCTCCACCGGTCCTCAGGAGTGGCTCCGGCACGGGGATGTCCAGCCCGCCCCTGGCCGCCCAGACGGTGGTGCCCCTGAAGCACTGCAAGATCCCAGAGCTGTCCAGGGACAAGAGCGTGCTGTTCGAGCTCCACCTCTTCTTCTGCCACCTCATCGCTCTGTTTGTCCATTACATCAACATCTACAAGACCGTGTGGTGGTACCCTGCCTCGCACCCCCCCTCCCACACCTCCCTGGTAAGAGGCTGCTCGCCCCCCCAAGGGGCACTGGGGTTCGTCTCTGCAAGCACGGCAGGACCCCCTAAACACTCAGTAGAAATCGCTCTTCACAGCTCGTGCTTATGGCAGAGGTTTCGGGGCTGGGAAGTTTGCTAAATCCCTCTGACCTGGAGCCCCTTCAGGGCTGCTTTAAGAAAGAGAGCAGCCCGGGAGCTTGGAATAAATTTCGCCCCCCCCCCGGCTGTGGATCCTGCTGCCGAGACTTTGTCCGAAGTTCTTTAACACCATCCAGGGACGAATCACTGGGATACAGTCCTGCCTGATGAGAAAGTAGCTTCAGTATGATTGATAACTGAAGGCCGTCTCTATCGGGAAGGACAGTTGCAGGATTTGTTTAGTTTTTCCAGTATTCGGGCTGCATTGCTTTTCGTTCAGGCTCTGCATCACCTTGCATAAGTAGAAGTTAATAGCATTTTGAATTGAGTTTCTTCTTTAAGTGCATTTTGTTTCAGGAGTCGGCAAGCTTTTATTTCAAATTTTGTCTGTACTGCACAAGCACGTAAAATTATTATCACTGATATCGTATGATGCCTTTCATGTTCAAGGCGGCTCTGTGCACTTTGTGGGGGGAAAAACTAGATTTCGACTACAGAGAAAAGTAAAAAATTACACTGCCGTTTTGTTATTTAAAAAAAAAAGTTTTATAGCTTACGGGATCCGAGTCCTGTGTAGGTTATTGAATCATCGACTTGAAAAATAAATCCATGTTTTGGAACAAAAGCCGGAGTGCTTTCTGCTCTGCGGCGCATGAATCTGTGCCCCCTGCAGCACAACACTGAGGTGACTCGGCTCTTTTCGTCTGGAAGTGACAATCCTGTCTGATGACGGCGATAATAAGATCTTTAGATATTAAGTGCTTTTTACTTTTAAGAGCTAAAGAAAGCAAAATACCATAAACTTTGTAAGTCGCTTGCATTAATATGATTTAAAAAGCGATCTGAGTGAACTTGCACTCCTTATGGATTTGGATGAGATACAAATTAAGATCACTGTAGTGCCAGTGTAGTCCAGTTTATACAGACATAACAGTTTCTCCTTATTCTTTTACAGAATTTCCACCTCATTGACTACAACCTGCTTGTCTTCACTATCACTGTGTTGGCGCGCAGGCTGATCGCAGCCATTGTGAAAGAGGTAAAATGTAACGTTGTAAATTTGAGGTCAGTCCTGCAGGTTTATACCGTACTTATCAGAAAAAGGGGTAAAAACACGATCTACTCCTTAACGCTTTCACTCGTCAGCAAAGGTGTTTGCAATATTGCTGCGCATGTGCACTTAAAATAAAACAGCAGCTAAATCTGTTGTAGATTTAGTGTCTTAAATAAAAAAACAATGGGTGTTTCACAATGGAAAACCATAAATTCATTTTAAATCAAACAGTGACAATTTGTGAAGAGGATTTTCGTTGTGCTGGTCTATAATGCCCACGTCCACCTTGTAAATAACAAACAAACCTCTTGGGACGTCGAGTCATCAGGTAAGTAGGACTGGATCGCAGTGTTTTGAAATACCTTGAGAAGGGCATGAGGCAAACTGAGGTGCGGTCTGTTAAGAAAATGCAGCGTTTTTGTCAGCGGGGCTCTGCAGAGCTCACTCGCCTGAGGTCCGATGTCCTCTGTCGTTCCGATTCAGGCCTCTCAGAGCAGCCGGCTGTCGGTCCCTCACTCCGTCTTCCTGGTGACGGCCCGGTTCGCGGTCCTGACGGGGACGGGCTGGAGCCTGTGTCGCTCCATGATCTATCTCTGCAGGACGTACTCGCTCCTCAACCTGCTGTTCCTGTGTTACCCGTGAGTACTCCGCCACTCTGCTTTGCCTTTGCTCTCCAGACTTTTTTTTGTTGAGAACCGAGCTTCCTTGCGGGCGTGCCGCGGTGCCGCAGTGGTCACCATTGCTGCTGTACCGTACTGGGGCCCCGGGTTCGATTCCAGACCCAGGGTGCTGTCTGTGTGGAGTTTGTACGTTCTCCCCGCGTTTGTGTGAGACGGTGGCAAGGCGCTGCCTTGTTTCCGTTTCAGAGCAGTCCCTGCCCTTCCGGGCAGGCGCTTCTTGCTAAAGCTCGAAGTCTGTCCAGAGCCGCGCGCTTTGATGAGCAAGTACGCTGAGCAGTAGGTGGACCAAGCCAGCAGAGGGCAGCACTCAACTAGCAATACTCTAGAACAGGGGTTGGCAAACTTTTTAGACCAAGGGCCACTAAAACATTTTTACTAACCTTGAAGGACCATCTGAGAAATCTAGCTGATAAACTCGCCGACTAGAATAGGTCGTGTTTCTCTGGGCACATCTCCTCCGCGACCTCTTGCACACACTGCTGAATAAACTCACAGCCCGTGAAGGGTTGGCCAGCTGCTGCTAGAAGCTGTGATACTCAATAACTAGTTCGGGTAGCCGCAGCGTTTTCTTCGAATCTTCTCTTGAACGGTTTTTGCTGCCCCTGAAGCAACTTTTTCTACTGTTTTAATTTTTCCCTCCGTCCGTCTCCTGTGTATTCGGAAAACGTAGCCTGATGTTTTGTCTCGTAACACCTTTTTATGCTGTGTTCTTTAACCACGGCGATTGTTTCCTGACGGATAAGAAACATGCCCTTTTCTTTCCGAGGGACACACAAGTACTCTTCTGACCATTTGTCGTTGAATTTTCGACCCTCTGCATCGATCTCTCTTTTTTGCGACATGGCAGGAATGACATACAGTTAGCCTCTTTTCAGTTATAACTTTTAGAACCGTTTGAAATCATTACCTGCTTTCAAACAAGATAGCGCACACTAGACATCATCACAGTAGGCAACAAAAATCCTAATGAATTTACGGTAGGAATCAGTTGTAGCGCAGGCGTATGTAACCTGGGCGAAAGCTGACGTCTGATAGACTGAAAGTAAAATGCATCGTTCGATAGGCGTTGTTCTGCAATTGACCGTTAGTGCTGAGGGAGAGCAGCAGAGCTAACAAGTAGAGGCCATGACGGAGGATTTTCAATAGATGATGCTAAAAGTAACCCTCAAGATTCAAACAGCAGTGAGCCGCAGGCCACTCGGAAAAGATCAGGGGGCTGTAGTTTCCCAACCCCTGCTCTAGGATAAAAATGAAATGAGTTCATAATTGCTTACGCTTCTATAGCGCTTTTCTGGACACTCCACTCAAAGTGCTTTACAGGTAATGGGGACTCTCCTCCACCACCACCAGTGTGCAGCCCCACCTGGATGATGCACCAGTACACTCCCCACACACCAGCTCTCATTGGGGAGGAGAACAGAGTGATAAGGCCAATTCAGAGATGGGGATGGGGATTATTAGAAGGCCATGATTGGTTATTTTCGAGAAACACCCTGGTGTCAGGACCTCCGTTTTACGTCTCATCTGAAGGACGGCACCTTTTTACAGTCTAGTGTCCTCGTCACTATACTGGGGCATTAGCACCCACACAGACTGCAGGGTGAGCACCCCCTACTGGTCCCACTAACACCTCTTCCAGCACCAACCTTAGTTTTTCCCAGAAAGTCTCCCATCCAGGTACTGACCAGGCTCACACCTGCTGAGCTTCAGTGGGCTGCCAGCGGCGAGCTGCAGGGTGATATGGCTGCTGGCACAATGAGAATCACAGTTAATGAGAATCACACTCCAAAACAACACCGTTGTTTTTTTTTCTCTCGCCCTTCAATTTCTGTTGTCCCCCCGCACGCAGTGCAGTCCGCTTTCATATGCGGCTCCCTTACCTGGTCTTGGTCCCGACGCGTTCGCTGAGGGGGAGCTCTGAACAAACAAAATACCTGGAAGGCTTTAGGAGTGCAGGTCTTCTGTGCGTCCTGCGTGTTCTTGTTATTTGCCTGCATGCAGGAGAGCCCAGAGAAGGGGCTCTTGACTAACGGGGGCGACTGGAACGGTTTCAGGTTCGGGATGTACCTCCCTTTCTTCCGGCTGAACTGCGACGTCCGGGGGCCCGGCCTCCTGGCCCCGGTCACCAGCATCGGCGCCAGGGAGGGCGGGCCGGCGCACGGGGGCAGGGGCAAGGACTACCTGAGCGTGCTGAAGGAGACCTGGAAGCAGCACACCAGCCAGCTGCGGGGGGAGGAGGCCATGCCCACCCACGCCTGCTGCCTGTCGCCGGACCTCATCCGCAAGGAGGTGGAGTACCTCAAGGCAGACTTCAACTCGCGCATGAAGGACGTGCTGGTCAGCTCCATGCTCAGCGCCTACTACGTGGCCTTCGTCCCCGTCTGGTTTGTGAAAGTGAGTTTCCTGCTCGGCTCTTGCGTGTCACAAGACTTGCCACCAGACCTTCACGAGAGCTTTGTTTTGCCCTTTCTGTGAAGGTTCGCGCGGTTAATCTGCCATTTTGCATTTGTCTCGGTGTTAAAGGCTGTGCCTTGGCTTTGGACACTAGAGCAACTCTAGTTTTTCACCAAGAGATGCAGAAATCCTGTAAAGAATTGTCTGTATCGGCTTTTTTTTAATGCGGTTATTTTTGCTTGTCTATTTTTTTTTGCCTTCAGTGGTATAACAAGTTTTGTGCACTTTCAACTATTAGACTGTAGAAGCTTTGGAGAGCGCTCTGCTGTTTGTGGATGAACGCCAATAAACTCATCGCCCTTTTTTAAATGTGACTGACAGCCCCTGATCAGGTTGCCGCCCTGTGCCCCTGGACCGCAGGATGATCCGGGCGGTGCTTTAAGTTGCCGTTGTGCAGGTGGTCCTCAGATCCCTCTCTCCTTTTTGCAGAGCACGCAGTACTATGACAAGAGGTGGTCCTGCGAGCTCTTCATCCTGGTGGCGGTCAGCACCTCCGTGATCCTGATGCGCCACCTGCTGCCCCCACGCTACTGCGACCTCCTGCACAAGGCCGCCGCCCACCTGGGCTGCTGGCAGAAAGTGGACCCCTCCCTCTGCTCCAACGTCCTGCAGCACACGTGAGTCCTCTTGAACTCGAGCTTTATTGCCATGTGGACCCGGTTCGTGTACTGGTACAGTGGAATTATTACTTACAGAAAGTCTCTCGATTGTTAAAAAGTGTAAAAACACAAAGTGCAGACAATGCATCAGGACAACATACAAACAAACAGTAGACAATGTACAAGTAAACAGTTTGAGTGTAAACAATGCCTGCAGATGTGCAGTAAATAAGAAATCGTAATGAGGTTGATGGTGTAGGTGTGGTCCGAGGGGCATGGCCAAATGTGTTTGCCAATCGCACTGCTTGTGGATAGACGCTATTGAGGAATCTGGTGGTCAGTGAGCGAGTGCTCTTGTATCTCTTGCCTGAGGGCAGGGGGGTGAAAAGCTCATGCCCGGGGTGGTGACTGTCCTCTGTGATGGCCAGAATTCTACCACGGCAGCGGTCCTCATAGAGCTGTTT